CCCCCCCCCCCCCCCCGCGCGCGTCCTCCCCTCCTCCTTCGAAGGGCAGAACGCGGAGGAGACCAACCGGAGGAAAGGGGCCATCCTCAACCCCCCGTTGTTGTTGCGCATGCACACATAGGAGAGAGGGAATTGCTTGGAAAATATTTCGGAAAATATTTCACTGCTCTCTACGCGGTCGACCAGACAAAACAAGAGAGAATCGTGCCCGCAACGGGGGAGAAAAACTATGACCGCGGGGGATGGGATTTAGTCCGCGTGACTGTTCGTGAACGTGCCGAGAAAACTGCAAGAAGAGCGACCAGAGGGAAAAACGACCCGCCGACAGGCAGTCATCATCATGCACTTGGACCAGCCAAGGTCAGCTTCATGATACTACCACCGCGTCGTCCGCTACACCTTGCACACGTTCGTCCGTTTGTCTCAAGGGTGGGTAACGTACACACACACTTTGATTGGTCAGCCGGCTAGCGCGGGAACTGCTAGTGATAAAGAAACGCTCTTGCCACTAACCTGGACGCTTGGTACGAGTCGAACATGGAAGCCTTCTCCTCTGCCTCTGGCGAGACGGCCATGCCGGACTCCTTTTGCTGCCTGCGAACCCCGACAGCAAGCAAGCGGCGAAACAGCGGGACGAGGATCGCCTGTAGGTCTCACCATCTATCATCGCGCGCCTGCCATCGTTCCAAAACTATTAATTGTAACACTACCGGCACTCTTCCAAAATATGTATGTTCCCCCGAACTGCCGGTAACAGCCGCTCAACGTTAGCACTTTTTGGGGTGCTGGACGGGAAGCAAAGTCATGTTTTTTCATTTTGTCTTGACTTCAAATCAGCGCTCACAGCACTGGTGCCGTTTACTCCAACCCGTGGTCACACAGAAGAGCCCCTCTCTACCCTCCCCTCCTGCGGTACTTTGCCTTCGATTTTTAATGCGAGAAGAGTTCAGCACTCTCTTCCCTCTGTGTACACACGAACTAGCGCTATCCACTAGGCCAGGAGCGGAAGCGAGAGAAAAACTCATTTTGCAAGAAAAGCTCGCTTACGTCGGGATTCGAACCCCTGACCTGACCTCTAGAAGGTTTCGAGGTTACCAACTAGAACGAAGGCAATACAATTCATCGAAGACGCGTGCGCAACATCGTGGTGTTTTCCCTTGGTGTAACTTGTTCTTTTCTCACGCGAGACTGACATCTTTTCATATGCCCGCCCGCCAGCGCGACAGATACAGGAATACATTCATGGCGTATACACCAACCACCCAAGGATGAAAAACAAATTTCGCGGCCATTTACCCTTCGTTCGAATTCTACTCCACCACCTTCCTCATGCAAGGAAGTTTGACCTTCCTCATGCAAGGAAGATTGACCATCCAAAAACAGGAGAGAAAAACGCACGACCCCGCCAAAATCAGCACCACCGCGGACAACAACAACGACAAACAAGACACTACCGTTCCGTAAGAGGGATAATGGCACCCCCTAGCTAGGCCGATTGTCCAACTTCAGTTCGATTGCTCCACAACGAAGCTTGAATGCTATTCATACAAAAGCACCAAAAATGGTGGTACTAGGACCGTGAAACTGGTGGTTTGGGGAGCGTCTCGTCTTGTCGAGGGCTTTCGGTAGAAGACTGTGTCAGGTTCTTTCCGCACCCACTTGGTTGAGGAGCAATCGAATCCACCTTTGAAAGTCGGTCTATTGATAGGGGGGGTGTCATCTCTCCGCCTCTTACGGAATACCACCGTACGGTAAACGGTACGGTACAGACAAAATTGGTTGGTCGTGGAGCAATCAAGCTTTACAAGTCGGTCTAAGGGGGGCGCTGTTGAGAAGCACGACGACCACTAGGTAGGCCATTAAGTCAGCGCTGACTACTAGTATTAGCGTAGTGATCGTCCTGCTTCTTAACATCTGCCACCTCTCCACCTGCGGTATCCAGCAAACTAATCCAGCACACACTGACTGACTGCTGTACACACATTAATTACCTGGTCCTCATGTACTCCTCATACGGGGAGCTCTGTAGCTTAGACGAAGACGTCGCCCACCGAGAGGACGTTCCCTAAAAGGAAGAGATCGATGGCAGCAAGCAGCAAGCGGCGTGGATAGACAGCAGATTGTTATGATATAATAAGTTACTTTTAAGTATGGACAGAGAGGCACCATAACAAGGAATTGCTAACAAGATTTATGTTGTTGTTGTTGTCGTCGTCTGTCTGTTGTGTAGTCTGGAGCATGGTTGTTCGAGGTTCAGCTGCGCAAAACACTATGTAGACTACATCTAGAGCAGGGGGCAGGGGGGTGGGTGGGTGGGGGGGGTGTACTCATAGTCGTGCATGCCGTAGTCGTTAGACCATTGACCTCGCATCCCTNGCCGTGAGGTATTCGGCAAGTCGCATGAAGGGTGCGCTGCATCCTGCTAAGGGTGTTCGGCATCTTGTGCTTGCTTCCTTGCATATGGATGACAGCTGCGTGTGGCTTAATTTATTTTCTGGTTCTTTCACTTCCAGAGACAGTTTTAAGCACTGGGGGGGGCGCGGTGTGTACTAATAGTCGTAGTCGTTAGGCCATTGACCTCGCATCCCTACAAAACCGGGACGGAGCACGCCGGGTTCTCACCGGACCAGGCTCTCACNCGCTGCATCCTGCTAAGGGTGTTCGGCATCTTGTGCTTGCTTCCTTGCATATGGATGACAGCTGCGTGTGGCTTAATTTATTTTCTGGTTCTTTCACTTCCAGAGACAGTTTTAAGCACTGGGGGGGGCGCGGTGTGTACTAATAGTCGTAGTCGTTAGGCCATTGACCTCGCATCCCTACAAAACCGGGACGGAGCACGCCGGGTTCTCACCGGACCGGGCTTTCACATCACCAAGCACGAAGCACCGTCAGGAATTACGCGAGTGGCATGAAGGGTGCGCTGCATCCTGCTTAGGGTGTTCGGCATCTTGTGCTGACTTTGTTGCGTACGGATGACATTTATCTGCGTATGAATCAATTTATTTTCTGGTGCTTTCATTCCCAGACATCTAGAGCGGCGAGGTTTCGTTTGCATTGTCTTCTTGCAGAACAGAGTACATCGTAGCTTCTTACCATCAACGAGCTCCACACACACTCGGGATACATGTACGGACGGGTGCGGTACTCATCTATCTTCGTTCATCACGGGCAGTCATGACTCCCCAATGTTGTACCTCATACACACCACAGGATATTTTACTTCTTCTGCTCCTTCCTCGTGACATAGACTACTGACTGTGTACAGTAGCACACAGTAGCACACAGACGGGCAGGTATTGCGTGTGATCGATCCCGCAGGCATCACAATCAAGTCATCATGTCGGGGATCGTGGCCACAGGGGAATGGATGTTGTAGTATATGAACACATGCAAACCATGAATCCATGACACCAAAAACACGTATCGACCGTTCCGTCGGTCCGACTCGGAATATGAACACTTGCAACAACCTATGTCAAGAGGGTCCACCGCTGCTGTAGAATACTCGAACCCTCCTGGCTACTTACTTTTAACAGACTAGACTACCCTGTTCCCACAAATTGCTTTCCGCAACGTTGTCGCCTATGGTATCTACTACTGTAGTACTGTAGTACCTCTCTCCCCTACTCCTACTGGAAGGAGCATTTCTCGTTGAGAGGGCCCGAGATTGATTGGGTCTGCAAGTTGCTGTATGTGCATTTGGTTTCTGTCGCTGCTCGGTTCTTCAATGTATGCATACTACTCCATATTTTATAGTGTACTGCCACCCCCAGCTCGGGAACAAAAAAAAACGTCTCACGCGCGCTCCCACTTCACACACAAACCCTGGCTATCTTGAACAAATCAATCCAACGCAGGAGGGTCTAAGATCTACGAGACTTGCCTTAGTCAAGCTCGACGACGATCCCGCTGTCCTCACTGGCGCGACTGGGCCCACCACGAACCCATCAGCCTGCGGCGTAGATCGACGGGATTAATAGAACAAATCCAGATCACGTGCAAGCAAGATTCCATGTAGTCAAATTAAGGGGCGGATGACGTGGGCCTGTTCGACATGATCGGGACCCTGATGCATCAGTTAACGCATGTGCACATCATGCATGCACGCGCAAAAACAACCTGTTGTACCATGCATAGGTTTGCCTCCTACAACGAATGCTAGCAGTCTCTGGGCTAGCGGGGTGGTCGCAAGCTGAGCGGCCCATCCTGAGGTCCAGCAGCCTCAGCAGCGGCAGACAGACACAGCTAATGATGATGTAGCTTCGTCCCGTCGAAATCTACCAAGTTGCTTCATCCCTGGGCGCGGCCGTCCCCTCTCGGGCGCGAGCAAAAAACACACCTGGATCGCCGCCCCGAGCAGCACAACCAAGGCCGACAAGCAGCTCTTCGTTTTGCCGTCCATCGTCATCGTGTTGTCAGCCGGGGGATGATGAGAAGGTGGAAGAAGAGCCTCGGTTTACAAGAAGTGATGAACTGGACCACTCGAGAGAGCTTGAGGGTCCCGCTGGCTGTGGTTATGGTGTCCGGGGAGGGGGGGCACCACCTGACTGGTCCAACGCCTGACCACGTGTTAAAAGATCCATCATGGATCTCGCTGTCACACTCGCTCCCTCACTCACTCACGCATGTGCACACCTTTCGGGCCTCTGCCTCTCTCTCCCTCTCTCTTTGCTAACAAGGCAACGTACGTAACGAGATGAGGAGTACCACATGTGTCGGGACTCTTGTGTTGTTCTTTGTAACCAACACATTCTGAACCTCAACGTACAACACACCCTAGACTAGCGTGATATAAGCTTTTAGGTGGGTTTGTGTTCTGAGGTGGAGCACTGCGAACCAATCACAAGTAAGGTGTGGTTCTACTAGCAAGGGTGGTTCTGCTAGCACGTCGGGTCCAAGGAATGTTTGGTCAATGCGGTCGATGCCCGTGTTGCGGTCACGGGTCTCTGTTGTGCACAAGAGGTAGAGTCGAATGTGGTCTCGTTTAGTCAACCTGAAGGTGAACTCCTGATCAGCAAGAACACCTACTGAACTCAACCGCTTATCAATCCAATCTCACTATGCTGTCCGATGCTATGCTAAGGCGTCACACTCAACACAACGCTATGGGGACGGCACTCACGCTCACCTAAACCCTCGTCGAAGCTATACCAAGCGGCTTCTGATCAAGGGGGTGGCTGTAGAAGCGCTGAAAACCAGAATAATCCAAATACTTTGGAACTCCGGGAAAACGGGGATAACTTCAACCATACGGTTACAATCTGCGGAGCTTCCTACAACATTGACCCACCCTTGCTTTTTCGCGGAACAATTTACATAAAATATTTCGTGGAAAAGCAAATAACAAAAACGGTAGGAAGCTCCTTTGAATAATTAAGGTACTCCCGCCCCCTCCCATTCACCATTGCGAAAAACTGAAAAACCACTCCACATCAAAATTGCTCCTCCTACACGGGTTTCGACCTGTTTCGCTGCTTGT